GTAAGCATTCAGGAGGCATCGGCCACTTAACTCTATAAAAAGCTTCAAGTTAATGAGGTAATTGCAGACTGAAAATCACTGAGATGTGCCTCCTAAACAAGAAAAAAGATCTGTCCTTCCATCGACTTGCTCAAGACCTCTCAATTATTTCTGAGACGTAAAAATAAAATAATAAAATAAAAAAACTATTGAACTTTGTGGGAAAACATAATATACAAAAGTTTCATATTTTCCGCATATTATTTTTCATAAGTGGTAAGTTTGCTTTACTCTTGAACCCCCAAATTCCTTTAATTCAATCAACACTTAGAAAAACTCCTCTCAAGGACTCTGTTGTTAGCTGCAGTGGAGTTAGCCGCCAACTCATGACAACCCCATGAACAATAGAATGAAATGCTGTCTGGTCCTGAGCCATTCCCATGATCGAATTATTGTGAGTCAGAGGGTTTTCAGTGGCCGATTTTTGGAAGTAGATCACCAGGCCTTTATTCCTAGTCCATCTTTGGAGCTCTGCTGACACCTGTCCAGCATCACAGCAACACACCAGCATCCACTGACAGATAGGTGGCAGGACGTGAGGTTCACTGGCTGGGAAATGACCCCAGGTGAGAGTTCTACTATCAAAACACCACTGCCCCAGGGCCTCACCACAGACTCCTAATTTCTCAAATGTTTTGAGGACTGTTGTTTAAATTTATTTCAGAGTTTTAATGACTACAGATTGAGAACAATAGGTGTGCAATGTTTGTCAAATGTATGAAAAAATTAAGAAACATAATTTTAGACAACTAACAAGAAAAAGACATGAGGTTTTTGGGAAAGAAATCTCTTTACATTATGGCCAAAATACAATCACAGGGAGAAGACTAATCATGAACTGCATATATGTATTAGAGAAATAGCTTTGCCAGAGTATACTGAGCTTGCCCACAGTTTCTCCAGAAGAACTGAGAAACCATTAAGACATTCAGGCTTCATGAGTTACAGCTCTATGGAAACTCATGCCATAAAGAAACAATATAAAAATATTATAGAGGCATCTTTCTCAGTGAATTTTTTTTGTTTTTGCTTTTTATAGAAGTAAATATATACGTGACAGATCACTTGCAATTTCAATGTTCTTCACATGTTAAACTCACTGACTTTAATTATATTCATTACATTCCTCATCCATCAGAAGGCTGAACCATCATTTGTTCCCAAATTTTTCCATCACCTTTAACAGAAGCTCAGTATCCCCTAAGCAATGAGTCCTTCTTCTCCTTCCCTCCCACCTGCCCCTGGTGACCACTAATAAGTTTGTTATTAAGTGAATTTTTAATTCAGTCCTTTAAAAATATCTTTCATTCTATTCACTAGAGAGAATTTTTGCTTCAAAAACTAAAGTCTTGAGAGCAAAGATTACAACATGCATCAGTCACACATTTGCTTAGTGTTATGTGTTAAAAAGATCTCAGCACAATTCAGATGGTAGTTATTGATTTCAGTGATTCGTTTCATTACTAAATAGACATTTTTCTTTTTCAATGTAAATTCTATTTCTAGAGTATCCTCATTAAAAGTGAACATAGAGACATTCTTCTTTTTCAATGTAAATTCTATTTTAGAGTATCCTGATTAAAAGTGAACAGAGATTATCATCCTACCATTGTCATCCACTACACGGGTTTGATCTTTACAACAATCTACAGGCAATCCGATAATTTCAACTTCAACAAAAGGGTCAATGATCTATAAAATAAAGAGAAAGTATTATTACAAATGATAAAATTCTACATTGTGTGGATTAATTTGAGAATATTAACCAAAAAAAAAAAGTCCACATTTCAATAGTAACCGATTTTATTAGGGACTAAAGAAGAGGAACAGTATCTGGTGCCGAAAATATAGAAATAAAGGACAGGAATGAACAAAAATATACTAAGTTTTGTTTGCCAATAGCTCCTATTGCTAGACAAACTTTTCCCAGTGAACCTACCATTTCATTCCTGGCTACATACCTTATAGAAATGAGAACTTTTTGCCTTAGAGCTCAGAACAGCTCTAAGGTAAAAACTGGAAACAACCAAAATGTTCATCATGAGTAGGATGAATAAGGTGTGGAATATTTATTTAATGGAACACTACACAATAATGAAAAAAAACTTCCGCTAAATCAACATAATGTTCATTTCCTTTCTGATGACTTCCAATTTTCCTAGATTCATACTTTATACATCCATGTTTAGATTATTAATGGAGGTTTGCTGCCGTTTCTTCTTATTTTGAATTGGGCCACATCGGGAAACGTATGTCCCAAAAGCTTTACTCCATCCATTTCATTAAGGTTGACTAGACTTTGAAGAGGCAGCTTTTCCCCAGTAGTATTTTGAGTGTCTTCCAAACTGAGAAGTTCATCTTCTAAGCACTGTATCAGACAATGTTCCACTGTTATTCATAAGGTTTTTACTGGCCAAGTTTTTCAGAAGTAGATCGCCAGGTCCTTCTTCCCAGTTTGTCTTAGTCTAGAAGCTCTGCTGAAACCTACGTACATGGGTGACCCTGCTGGCATCTGAAATACCAGTGGCATAGCTTCCACCATCACAGCAACATGCAATCTACCAAAGTACAACAAACAAACCACTGACAGACAAGTGGTGGAGTAGAAAATCTACTATTTGACTATTTTGCACGTCATTGACGTACATCTGGCAGCAATGAATGCTGAGGTGCAAGGCAAGAGTAATGCTAGCTATGATGGTTAAGGTTTTATGTCAACTTGGCTGGGCCATGATTATAGTTTGGCAGTTATGTGATGATGTAATCATTTCCCATTTTTGAATAACACTAGTTTTCACATAACAACCTGGTCTTTGGACTCTACCATGTCAATTAGTGAGGAGTAGGTGTATATCTTTATTTTCACTACTCTCTGACTAAAACACAACACAGTACTATTAGTAGTACCTGTAACGCTATGTCCAACAGAAATCATGTGTGCTTTCACGTCACATTATAGTTGTTGGAAACATCTCAATATATCACTTATACTCATGACTTCAAAATTACTGTAAGTTTTAGATCTGTAGCTAAACCCTGTTGTTCATTGCATTAATAAAGATGCACATATTTGCATGTTGTATTTTATTTTTATATATGTTGATAACTAAACCAAAATTTCAACAAGAATTTATTTCTTTTGCATCCCTACCTATTTTATTTTATGCATTTAAAAACATTATCCTCAGAAGGGGTCCATAGTTCTTACCAGATATCAAAAGTTTCCATGGGTCAAAAAATGTTAAAATTTCCTGATAGAGAACTGTGTAAGCCATGATTAGGAGGCTGAGTTTTATTTTAATTGCAAAAGAGAGATACTAAATCACATAAGGAATTTATATGATCTCCCTTATACATTTAAATGATTACTCTAACTCCACAAACTATGTATTAGTTGCAAGATACTTATACAATGTAAACCCTTGGTAGATGTTTTCTTATCCAAATAACATGACTAATCATGACACAAAATAACATTGTATGATGCACTGAGGACACAATATTGTCCTTGTGTTATTTCTGCCAAAAATATTTATTCTGAATCTAATCATGAAGAAATAATAAGGTGAATCCAAATTGAAGGGCATTCTGGGGAAAAACTGGTTTTGACTCTTAAAGAAAATTTTTAGTGTCATGAAAAAGAAAACAAGAAGGATGGAGAATTATTCTAGATTTAAAAAGACCAAAGATGCATGATATTTAAAAGCAATGTAAGAACCTTAATTGGAGACCCCCTCCACAAAAAAAAGGAGCTACAAGGACAATTTACTATAGATATATATACTAGATAATATTATTGTACCAATATATTTCATGGGTGTAATGATTATATTGTAATTACAAAGGAGAATGTCTTTGATCTTAAGAGATAAATACCAAGATATTTTTGAGTCAAGTGTCTTGACGTCAACAACTTACTCTGAAATGGATCTTCAGACAAAAACAAATATACCTACATATATGAATATACATGCATACAAACATACATAAGACAGAGAGAGATAAAAATGTAATAATTAGTGAGTGCATCTAAAACCAAAAACCAAACTCACTGCCGTCAAGTCAGATCCAACTCATAGCGACCCCTTCTTGGGTTTCTGAGGCAGGTATCACTAATGGCAGTAGATTGCCCAACCTTCCTTCCAAGGAGTGGCTGGTGGGTTTGAACCACCAGCCTTCTGGTTAGCAGTCAAATGCCTTAGGCACTACACCATCAGTGCATCTAAGGGATAAGGGTTGAGTGTTCCCTGCATTATTCTTACAACATTTCTGGGGTTTAAAAATTGCCAATAAAATGTTTGGAGAAAAATATAGGAAGTTAGTCTTCCTTTACTGCAGAGAAAAAAGGAAAGAAGTATGGATCAATTGCTGACGCAATTATTCTTGCTGTTGAGAGGAGAACAGAATGTAGAGGCAATAATGGAAGGGAGACCAGTTAGGAGGCTGTTGTTGTTTTTAGGTGACATCAAGTTGATTTCAACTCATAGTGACCTTATGTGACAAAGGAGAACTGCCCCATCAGGCCTCCTAAGCCTTGTGGTTGTTGTTGGTATTTGCCATCAAGTTGGATCCGACTCACAGCGACCCTTCCTTGGGTTTCTGAGGCAGTATCACTATAGAAGTGGATTGTCCAACCTTCTTTCTGAGGAGTGGCTGGTGGGTTTGAACCGCCAGCCTTCTGGTTAGCAGTCAAATGCCTTAGGCACTATGCTTCCAGAGCTCCAGAAGCAAATAACTAGGTTTTTCTCCCACGGAACTACTGATGAGTTCAAACTAACAATTTTTCAGTTAGCAGCCAAACTGCTTTATGGTTTGTGCCATCAGGACTCCTTAGTCAGGAGGCTCCTGCAACAGAACTGACAAGAGTTGATGGTAGCATGGATTAGCCTGGTGGCAACAAGGGCAGAAGAAATAGCCCCATCTGAAGCCACTACTCTCTGAGGAGTCAGATGTGGTGTCATCTGTTGAAGACAAGAAAGAAAGTGATAAGAACAAATGTCTGAGGAGACAGAACGCTGGAAATAGCCATTGCAGAGAATAGGACAGAGAGTTGATCAGGTAAGGCTGGGATGGCAGCACAGGTGAAATTCAGGAGGAAGAGTTTAGGGTGGTCCCCTGCTGCACAGTTGTGTTGTTTCCTCCATTAACACTCGGGATCCAGAAATGATGGTTTAAGACAGGTGGGAGTGGCAGGGTGAGCATGAAATCATGGACAATCTCTGATAGGAAGAACATGAGCACTGGAGATGCTTATACATAGGGAGAAAATAGAGGTCAAGAAGGCCAAAACCAGATTAACGTGAAAACCAGAAAGAGTTCTAAAAATAAAGGAGGCTGTGATCACCGAAGGAGATGTTTTAAAACCAAACTAGTATATTGTGGGGATTGTAATGAATGTCACAGAACAAAATGTGTATGAACTGCTGAATGGAAAATAAATTTTGCTCTGTAAACTTTCACCCAAAACATAATAATGAATAAATAAAATCATGCTACTTCAGTGCAGTATGTGATAACAATTACCAGCGTGTGGCCAACGAGCAGGTACCTAATGTGCAGCTGATATGAAGGTCCCAGGAGATGAGAAGATCAAGAAACAGGAATGAGAGGTTAATACATACTCTTAGACAATGTTCCTATCAATAATATAATTGGCTTTCACACTCTCGTTTTAGTACTGCTAGGGCCAGTCTTGAATTGTGAGCTGAACTGTGTGCCCTCAAACCTCCAAACTAGACAATGCACTCCAGAAGGAACTGTGTCTGATTTGCCAATAAGCTAGTTGATATTGCATGATATGAGGTCAATACTCATTTCTGAACATTTTTCTGAAAGCTTACATACACACACACACACATACACACACACACAGAATGCTGAAGAACTGTGAACTCTATAAGCACAACAAAACTATCATATAGTTAACCACTCAGTCATATGCAGCTTACCTCGCCTCGGTCTCCAAACATGGAATCTGGAGGCTTGGGGAGTTGCTGGCCACTGATTACTTTCAGGATGAGTTGCTTTTTGGGGTTTGCAGGAAGTGGGTCACCGGAGAAAGGATTGAAAGTACCTAAGCCACAGTTTAAGTTTGTAGAACAAAGAAACAACAAATGCTGGATTACTACAGTGTTTCTTAGAGGAGAGAAAACCTGTCACAACTGACAGTGTAGGCTTTACCCTGAAGGCAGCACCAGCTAGCTTTTCCATAGCTGTGAATTTTTGCCTCAAAGGCCAGACAAAAGAGCCAATTGAACACAAGGGTCTGCAATGCAATTATCAACCATGGTATGTAGAAAGAGGAGCATTTTACTTGAATGCCAATAGTGTAAAGTAGGGAAGGAATTATGTCAGATTGAATAATTTCCTAACCTGAAGTATCTTAGGTGTAGAGTGAATATAACAAACAGAAAAAAGATCTGAAATAAAGTAAACAGCAAAGCAAGAAAACCTGTAAAGTCTCAAATCCAGAAAACATATCTGTCAACACTGTTTTACCTAACTTGTTTATAAATTCAATTTGGATAACTTTAAAAAGAATTTTAATGAACAGACCCGAAAGAATATGTTGTTTGATCTAACCCTACATTAAGCTTTCTTTTTTGTTAGTACTGTTTATGATTGTATTACACTAACAAAAAGGACTTCATAAAATTGTTCCAAGAGGTATTTTAATTTTGCCAGCAGGTCTTAGACTCACAAGCCCACCCAAAGTTTCTGAAAGACAGGGTCAGGCCTTAGAAGGCAGTCCAATTTATGTGTCCAATGAAGGTCATGTGAGGACATGGGATTTCAGATGACAACTCATCGCTCCGTATGTCCCTCTTGACATGAAAAACTTCATGAGAAAACATGATAAGCATCATGCTATGTAATTATTAAATACATATAACAAGAGTTCTAATTTACATACTAACAATTTAATTAGTCTTTTTTTATAAAATCATGTTGTAAAACACTAGGATGTCAGAATTTCCAGAGACCTTTTTTTTCTCCCTAACTTTTTATCGTGATTTAGATGAAAGCTTACAAAACAAATTGGTTTTCCATTCAACAATTCACACACATTTTGTTTTGTAACATTGATTGCAATCCCCACAAAGTAACAGCCCACTTCCTACTCCCTTCCTGTATTTTCTGTTTCCATTTGTCTTTCTTTCCTTTCCATTTCTGCCTTCTGAGCTTTATTCCTGGTCAAATACTGCCTTTCTGATATTGTACCGTTGACTATTCTAAGGAATCTGTATATCCCTGGTGTTCTTCTTTACCTTATTGGTTTGTCTTCATTTGGCTGAAAGTTGAGCCATGGGAGTGAGTTAAGTTCCAGGCTTGAGGGATACCTAAGAGCCACAGTCTTTGGGTTCCACCAGGGTCTGTCAGACCAGTAAGCCTGGTCTTTTTTATTATTTTGAGTTTTGTCTTACATTTTTCTCCCACTCTATCTTCCAAAGAGATCTTTTAATGAAGGTCATCTTCATTCAGAGAAATGACCATAAAATTAATACATACCTTTGCACATTTGCTGGGGTTTGAGGACGTAGCCACAATTACCATTTGTCTTGAATTTGGCTCGATTTAACTGCATCATTCGCCCTTCAGACTGATAGTTCAGTGCCACTGTGTAAGTTGAAAGTTTGAGAGAATTAGGCAAGATGACAGTATAGAGCCAGGGGATTCAGAGAATGTTCCTTCCAAAGGCATACATACCTAGCTGACAACCTACATTCCAATAAGGCAGAGGGTTGAAGTTACTGGAATCAATTCGGTAGGCAGAGGGATAAATCCTCGTAAGCTGCTTTTGGTTATAAATCATGAACTGCTCTGATTTCTGTTGCACCACCTGATGTGCTCTTGTTTCACTGAATGATAACACATTTCCTGTGGTGCCTAAAAGTTTTTAATAAAGAAAAATGAACAGTGAGAGCTATAGCAAAGAAAATGTGTGGAGTAATGCCACTCATAAAAGATCTTACAGTGATGTTGGAACATAACAATAGTATAAAGCAGTAGAAGAGTGAACTCAACCAGGACAGAAACAGATCCTGGCCAAGGTCTCAAAAGACCTATAAAATTCCACTTTTGGGAACCTATTGTCACTTTGAGGCTAAATCAGAGCAATGCATCTGGCTAAGTTTCCTGCCTATTTCTGGATCCTGTGTTCTCCCAAGAATTCAGTCACCTCATTAACTTATATCTATCTGGTGAGTAAGGAGCTCTGGTGGCATTGTGGTAAAAGCATTGGGCTGCTAATAAAAAGGTCAGTGGTTTGAACCCACCAGCCACTCCATGGAAAAAAGATGTGGCAATAGGCTTCAGTAATGATTTACAGCCTTTGAAGGCCTATGGGGCAGTTCTACTCTGTTCCACAGGGTCACTATGAGTCAGAATCAACTTGATAGCAGTGGGTTGGGTTGGGTTTTTAGATATGGTGTATAAACTATGGTAGGTAGGGAAATTATTTTCTAGGTGTATGACTCAAACAGATATCTTTGGCAAGGATATAGGCAACTGTGGATAAATAAAGAAACCTATACAACTGAAGAAAGAAGTCAAAGCTGCCTGAACTAAAGGAATTGGCAAAAAAAAAAAAGGCTCTGGGAATTGACAGACTATCCATTGGGATGTTTCAACAAATGGATGCTGTGCTGGAGGCACTCACTCAGCTATGCCAAGACATTTGAAAGACAGCTACCTACCAACTGACTGGAAGAGATCCAAATTTGTACCCATTCCAAAGAAAGTTGATCCCCACAGAATGTGGAAACTATTGAACAATATCATTGATATCACACACAAGTAAAATCTTCCTGAAGATAATTCAAAAATGGTTGCATCAGTATATTGACAGAGAACTTCCAGAAATGCAAGCTGGATTCATAAGGAGATGTGGAGCATGGGATATCACTGCTGACGTCAGATGGATCTTGACTCAAAGCACAAAATACCAGCAAGATATTTATTTGTGTTTTATTGACTATGCAAAGACATTCGATTATGTGGATCATAACAAATTATGGGTAACATTGAGAAGAATGGGAATTCCAGAACACTTCCTTGTATTCATGAGGAATTTGTGCACAGACCAGGAGGTTGTTGTTTGAACCGAACAAGAGGATACTGCATGGTTTAAAATCAGGAAGGGAGTGCATCAGGGCTGTATCCTTTCACCATACTTATTCAATCTGTATGCTGAGCAAATAATCCTGTATGCTGAGCAAATAATCCAAGAAGCTGCACTATACAAAGAAGAATATGGCATCAGAATTGGTGGAAGACTCATTAACAACTTGCGATATGCAGATGACACAACTTTGCTTCCTGAAAGTGAGGATGAATTGAAGCACTTACTAATGAAGATTAAAGACTACAGTCTGCAGTATGGATTACTGCGTAAAGAAAACGAAAATCCTCACAACTGGGCCAATAAGCAGCATCATGATAAATGGAGAAAAGATTGAAGTTGTCAAAGATTTCATATTACTTGGCTCCACAGTTAACACTAATGGAAGCAGAAGTCAAGACATCAGATGGCATACTGCACAGGGCAAATCTGATGCAAAAGACTTCTTTAAAGTACTGAAGAGCAAAAATGTCTCTCTGAAGACTAAGGTGCACCTAATCGAAGCCATGGTATTTTCAATCACCTCTTAACATGTGAGAGCTGGATAATGAATAATGAAGACTGAAGAAGAACTGATGCTTTTGAATTGTGGTGCAGGCAAAAAATACTGAAAGTACCATGGACTGCTAAAAGAGCTAGCAAATCTGTCCTGGAAGATGTGCAGCGGGAATGCTCCTTGGGAGCAAGAATGGCCAGACTTCGTCTGACCTACTTTGGTTATGTTGTCAAAAGAGACCATTCCCTGGAGAAAAAGATATATCATGCTTGGTAAAGTGGAGGGTAAACAAAAAAGGGGAGGGCCCTAAATGTGATGGATTGACACAATGGCTGCAATAGTGAGTTCAGGTATAGCAAGGATTGTGAAGCTGGCAGTGTTTCCTTTGATTGTACATAGGGTTGCTATGAGTCAGAGCCGACTCAATAGTACCTAACAAGAACAATGGAGTTAATAACCAAACATTTAATATTCTCCCCTTTTGTCTTGCCTTACCTTTTATACTCTACCACCATTACCTCTCTAACCAATATCATTATCCCATATATGAAACAACCATTCATATATTCTCTGAACATGTTAGAAAAGGCCAAGCCCAGATAAAGACCTAAATTTGTCTCATTCTCATTTGAACGCATTCCCTAACAGGCTGAGTATATCTGAACCCTGACTGAGAGACATGGTCATGAACCCAACTGAACCTGAATCATATCTAGACTGAACATGTTCAGTAACACACATGGTCTCCTAAAGTCTCTGCTGTCCACAGGTTGTACACCCTTGTTTAACACTGGTCAACTGACTAACAGTGAAACTCCAGAGCTGGTTTTTGAAATAGTCATAAGTACAAATGGGAGACAAAGAAACCAAATACAGTTTTTACCCTGAGGATTTCTCTAGTATGGACTCTTTAAAAAAAAAAAAAAGTGTATTTTTATGCAGTTTCTTAACATATTTTTACATATCACAAACATACTAAAACATATTTTTACTACTCTGAAAATAATAAGAAATAATATATTTTATATTTAGCTATATATACTTTATATATATATATATATTATATATATAATGTATATATATTTTATATAATCTAAAAAGCCAAATTCAGATGGAATACCACTGTAATCAATACCATTGATTTTTCTGTCTCCACAAAAATGAACACACTGCATTGTTATTAAGATGACCTTACTAATTAGGCACATATCAATTAGTTTATTAATAGAGTTTGTGAGTTGTTTTGCATTAAAATAAGCCATGCATTCATTATCTTTTCCTCATTTTGTGGCTCATTTAAACAGAAAAGAAAAACAGCTGAAGGTCAAAGCTAAATAGTAGGCAAGATTATTTTCCATTAAGCTAATAGGATTAGATTTCTCAAGGAATTAATTGAAAAGTATATTACTCTAAAACAAATACACCTTTAACTCCATTAAACCAGTCCCTGCCTGAGTTATTTTAGGGCAGTTATTATAAGATTCAGCTTTTCATTTGCTGAGAATCCATAGTTTCTCATATTCTTTCACGTGAATTTTTTTTCAAATAATTGCCACCATTTGAAACAGAATCAATACCAAAAGGAAGAAAGTCTGTTGGCAGAGTTAGACACTCTTGTGGGGTGGGGGGAAAAGAAGATCTGAGGGAAGGATGTTAGATGCCACAATATTGGAGATTCATATTTTACTGTAATTAAAATTGGAGGGGAAAACCACATGACCATAATTTATTTCTCTAAGCGTTCAAGAACTGAAGGCAATAGCAATGAGAAGGGAAGAGGACAAAAAGAGCAACTAGCAGAAAGATCAAGGGGCAGAATAGTTGGGACTGGAAATTCTCAGTTTAAAATATGACAACTGATAGATGAAAAACAATGAAAGAATCAAAGCTACTGAAATTTCTCCTCATTTTGTTAAAACATCAGTCTGTAGGTAGACTCAACTACCACCAAGAAAGAGGAACCAGGAGTGGAGTGTGTTCTTTTGACTGAGGGTCCCAGCCCTGGGATCCGCCTAGGAACAAGAGACGCAGAAAGAAAGTCTTCCCCTAGAATGGGTATTCTGGACTCGGACTTCCAGCTTCCTAAACTATAAGAGAATCAATTTCTTTTTCTTAAAGTCAAAAAAAAAAAAAAGAAAGAAAAAGAAAACCTTCAATCTGCAGATAAAATAATTTTCAAAAAAGTCAGAATTTCCAGTAAGAAGGTCTGGAGTTTTTCTGAAGTGTTAGTTCAGCCAATTAATTTTTTCTTTCTTTTGGTCACTTACACTTGGAACAGCCAACAAGCTAGGCCAAGTCTCTACATTTCAAGCGTTAGGGGAAACCCTTGCTCTAATACATCAGGTTTTTTATAATAATAAAGTCCTCTTTAGGGAGATTTCTCTGACCTCTAAACAATCAAGCAACCAGAGAAATCAATAGAGCCTTCTGTGCTGGCTAAGCATTATAGTAGCAGTCAATTTCCTGACATTCAAGTCAGAGTCTGTTGTTGTTTTTATGTGCTGTCAAGTTGGTCCCGACTCATAGCGA